GGTATACACGTGCCATGGTGGTTTGCTGCATCCATCACCCTGTCATCTGCATTAGGTATTTCTCATAATGCTATCCCTCCCCTAGCCCCCACCCCCTGCTATCCCTCCCCTAGCCCCCACCCCCTGCTATCCCTCCCCTATCCTCCCACCCCCCAACAGTCCCTGGTGTGTGATATTCCCCACTGTCCTCCACAATGACTGAACTTATTTACACTCTCACCAACAGTGTATAAGCGTTCCTATTTCTCCACATCCTCTCTAGCATCTGTTGTCTACTGATTTTTTAATGATGCCATTCTAACTGGCATGAGATGGTACCTCAATGTGGTTTTGATTTGCAATTCTCTTCAGTGATGATGAGCTTGTTTTCATATGTTGCATCCATTCCCCCATCAAGAGTTTGGATCCTGACTAAGGAGAGCATTAGGAGACAACAGTCTTGAAAACAGTAACTGTGTGAGTAGTGGTAGTGTGATTTAAACCTACAAAAATGCTGAATAATAGAGGTTTAGAGCTGCAATGTGCAGTTAGTTCAACCACTGTGGAAGACAGTGTGGTGATTCCTCAAAGATCTATAACCAGAAATACCAGAAAGTTGACCCAGCAATCCCGTTACCGGGTATATACACAAAGGATTATAAATCATTCTACTATAAAGACACACGTACACGTATGTTTATTGCAGCACTGTTCACAAGCAAAGACTTGGAACCAACTCAAATGCCCATCAATGATAGACTGGATAAAGAAAATGTGGCACATATACACCATGGAATACTATGCAGCCATGAAAATGGATGAGTTCATGTCCTTTGCAGGGACATGGATGAATTTGGAAACTATTATTCTCAGTAAACTGACACAAGAACAGAAAACCAAATACCGCTTGTTCTCACTCATAAGTGGGTGCTGAACAATGAGAACATATGGATACAGGGAGGGGAACATCACACACTGGGGCCTGAAGGGGGTAGGGGATTAGGGGAGGGATAGCAGTGGGTGGAGCAGGGGAGGGATAGCATTATGAGAAATACCTAATGTAGATGACAGGGTGATAGATGCAGCAAACCACCATGGCATGTGTATACCTATGGAACAAACCTACACGTTATGCACCTGTACCCTAGATCTTAAAGTATAATAAACAAATAAATAAAATGTATATTTTTATGAATTAAAAATAATTAATGTAAAAGTTTTAAAAATTACTTTAAGTTCTAAAGTAATTAACATAATCTACCTCCTTAAAATAAAAAAGAAATGTACAAATGGCCAAGCACATGAAAAGATGCTCAACATCACTAATCATTAGGGAACTGCAAATAGAAACTAAAATAAGATACCACATGATACCCATTAGAATGGCTAGTATTTAAAAAAAAAAAAGAAGATAGCAAGTATTGACAAGAATAAAGAAAATGGAATGCTTGTGTGTTGTTGGTGGGAATGTAAAGTGGTGCAGTCCTTGTGAAAAACAATATGCTTCACCTGTAATCCCAGAACTTTGCAGGGCCGAGGAAGGAGGATCACTTGAGCCCAGGGGTTTAAGACTAGCTTGAACTGAACTGTATACTTATAAGTAAGTGGTCAAGATGATAAATTTCTGTTATATGTATTTTATAATAATTTTTTAAATGAGAAAAAGGAAAATTTTAAAAATAAACATTTGAATAAAAAATTAATCAATGAGCTCATATTGATAAGGAAGAAAGAGAGGGAGGGCAAGGAAAGGAGGGAGGGACAAAAGAAAGAAGGAGGGAAGAAAGAAAGGAAGGAAAGCAGAGAGTATGGGAAGGAGGAGGGTGAGAGGGAAGAAGGACCAAAAGGAGGAAAAAGTTTCTTTCTTTCTTACAGTATGGTGCCGACTAATACAGAGACAAAATAATGAACTTAGAATTAATTCATTTACAACCATCGTCAGACAAATGACTTAGGCAAGAATCATTGGTGGATGCTAAATTAAGGTGGGGGGAAGACATTGAACAAGGAGCAGGATGTCTATAGTCTCAAAGCATTTCCCTTTAATTATTTAATAATGATAGAGGGAAAATAATAACAATACAGTGGAGAAAACAGGCAAAACCTTCACCAAGTGATCAAAATTACCACCACCAAGGAAAGGCAGATGGGCATCCTGTGCTGCCAGATACAGTTCCCTGAGAAAGACACAACATCTGTTACAGAGTATTCCAGCCAAGAATGCCTAACCTAAATCTGATTATGGGGAAACATTTGAAAAACCCAAACTAAGTCACATTCTGTAAAATAACTGGCCTGAATGCTTCAACTATGTCATCGAGATAGCAAACAAACAAAATCCAAAGTAAGGCTGAGGATCTGGTGAACCAGAAAGAAACTAAACAGTCATGACAACTAAATGTAAAATACATTCTTGGATTAGATTCTGTATTGGTGGAAATTGCTTTAAGAAATATTATTTCAACTAGGGGATGAAAGTAGAATATGGAAAATAGATAAGATAAATGTATCAATGTTAAATTCTTTAAGTATTGCATTAAAGTTATGTATTATAATTATCCTTGAAAATATGTAAAAACTGAAATATTAAGAAGTAAGGGGCAATAATGTATGCAATCTACTGTCAAATGGTTTTAAAGAACTCTGTGTGTATATGTCTGTGAGTGTGAGTGTGTGTGTGTGTGTGTGTGTCTGGAGAGACGGAGTGACAAAGCAAATGTGGCAAAACATGTAAAAATTAGTGAGTCTAAGTAAAGCATATATAGATGTTCTTATTTCAAATTTTCAAAATTAAAAATTAGATTTCAGAAATTTTTAATTCTAAAACAAATTATGTGAGGAAAAATGGCCAAAAACCATCTGTAAGTCAAATTCTAAACATGCGTTGCCAGTTTGCAGCCTCAGATTTAAAACATCATTTGACTTCCCTGAAGTAGTTAAAGAAATCATTAAAAAACAAACCAAAAAACCCACCCATTTGCAATGAAACAGAAATCAATGAAAATAAAGAGCTTTTAAAGTTCCTACTTCAAGGCTGATGTCTGGATGTGATTTCTTTCTAAAAATTAATTTTGAAAAGGATAAAGGAGGGAAATTTCCAAACAACACAATATTGTGTTGTAAAAATTTCAACTTCAAGTCAAAGAAGTGAGGTTTGTGAAGTGTCAGATTACCCTCCTGCCCAGCTCCTCTCCTCTTATCATGGAGCAGGAGCATTGTTTTATCTGGTGGTTTGGAGGGTAAGAAGTTATAACAGATGACAGTTTTCCAGATAACAAGCTTTTACTTTAGATGCTCTTTTTAAAATTTTAATTTTTTTCTAAAATACTTCCTGTCATTGGGGCATACTTTCATATATCTTCTTTCCATCATGCTTCAGCTAACATTATTTGTGTTGAATGTCCTTGGTTAAGAAAAAACATGTGGGCTTCCTGTAGAAATACAGATGGATTCTCCAGACCAGTTTCTTCCACCAACACACTAGGAAAGCTTCGGTTAATCATTTAAATTCACCGGGCTCCAGCTCATCTGTAGAAAAATGGAGCTAAATTTTATCACCTCTGAGGTCCTTCCAGGT